CACACTTTACGAAGGGCTATATCTATGTAATTTTTTTTTTTTTTTTTGTCAGTGGAAATTGTCATGATGCCATTTCTAACCTTAGGTCCTTGGGTGGACCCGGAAAGAAATGTGTAAACGCCATAAATCAAAGAAAATAATAATAATAATAATAAAATCTAAAAAGAGGTGTCACGTCAGGCAGCAATAATTCTAGTCGCAGGTGGAGCCTTCGGTTAGATTGAAAAAGGTTTCGATAAACATATTTTAGTTATTCCTGGTAACCCAATGTCTTAAAGAAATACAAAAGGAAATACCCACAATTATAGCTCACACATTACGAAGAGATTTATCTATGTAAAATGTCATGATGCCATTTCTGAAATTAGGTCTCGCTTGGGAAACGGAAGGAAATGTGTGTGCAACAGAAATCAAAGGCGTCAATAATAATATTAATAATACTGCTATTAATAATAATATTAATGATAATAATAATAATAATAATAATAATAATAATAATAATAATAATAATATGGCTTGTCCAGCGGATTGTAACATAGCAACCAAGGAATTTGAAAAACTATCAAAATACAAAGACCTGGAAATTGAAATAGAAAAAATGTGGAAATTGAAAACAAGAATAATACCAGTGGTAATAGGTGCACTTGGAATTATAAAAAATGGAACAAAACAACACATTGAAAGAATCCTGAAACCCCAGCTTAAGAGACATACAGAAAATTGTCTTATTATGTACAGCACACACACTAAGGAGAACTTTGTTTATGTAACGCTAGCAACTTCATCGGAGATTAAAAAAAAAAAAAAAAATTAACATGAAATGTGGCCATAACAACACACCACGACCTGCCTTAGGTCTTTCCGCAGACTTGGTAGGTAGTGTGTCCATAGCAGAAATCGAATGATGATGATAATAATAATAATAACAATAATAATAATAACGATGTAACTATCCTTTAGAACATGACAAATCATAACTTACAGGGAAATTAAAGCTAACATAATCATATTATAAAAGACAAGAAATTCAGGAAATGTATGCTTATTGATATAGCAGTACCAACTGAGAGAAACATCCCCATGAAAATTATCGAGAAATTATCCAAATTTGATGTGGTGAATGAAGAGTGAGCCTGTATCAATAGTAATCGGCGCTCAGGGCATCGTAGGAAAAGAAATGGACAATTTTACTAACAGCGTCCAAGTAACATCGACACACAAGTTGCCCAGAAAATCGCCCTATTCGGAACATCCCATATACTCAGAAAAGTGCTAACAATTAAATGACAATAACCTAAAAAGCCTAAGGACCATAGTTTGAACCCGGCTTGACAGGATACAAAGCAGTAAACACAAAATACACAAATAATAATAATAATAATAATAATTAAACAGGAAGTTTCGATTCAGTCAGGTTATGTCTCAAATTTTTCCTTGATAGCGCAAGTAGTTTTTGTCTCTGTGTTTAATTTCGCCTAACCGACTTCTGTCAAAAGAAATAAATAACAACGTACCAATGTATATAGATGTGAAAAAAATGCAAATTAATTCAAAGTAAAATGAAGAAGCAGTAGCCATTAAGGAAGTAACTCGCAGTCAAATAACTGGGTGCATTGTACAGACTGCGTGCAGGTCAAGACAAGTCGTCAGTCAATAAATCTTTGATGATAATTTAAGTTTCTAATGCGGGCATTAAAAACAAGATAACCTTCGTTCACTGCTTTTCTGTCGCTGGAAGATGGTTCGGATGGGAATCGCTTCGGTTAATTTAAACTGATGACTTTTAAAAACCTGAATTATGACGATTTGTCTTCTCATTGGTAACACGCAGGAGGATAATGAGAGCTTGGACATCTAATGTCAAAACACACGGAAGATTTAGAAATTAAAAGTGATGTAATATTTTGAGATGGTTTCTAAGACAGCCAACACCCAAAAGTTGACATTTTTTTTCTAAATACTAGTGTGTTCGGAAATTAATTACATTTTATCAGAAATGGTATAATAACAAAGGTAAATTAAATATGAGGATTTTCTAAGCATATCTTAGAGGTAACATATGGCTGAAAGTAGAGGACACCAAGTGAGGATCGAACTCCGTGCCCAGACAAGTTTGATAGATTTTATACCACATCGAGTTTGCCAAATTGGTTTAAATATGAGAGTGTTTAGAATGTAATAACGCTTTTCCAGAAAGGGTATAGAATAAAATGCAAGTTAAATGCATTTAAATAATGATGAGCAAAATAATAATAATAATAATAATAATAATGATAATAATAATAATCATATTCATTTTCAACGATTTCAGCCTAACGGGATGATTAAATTTTGAATACACATTAAAAATATAGTTAGGAATTTTTTTTTAAGCTTTTTGTTTCTAATTGTTTTCTCTTATTTAAAATTTCTCTCGATCGAAATAAATAGGAGTATGCAAATGCTAAATCCAGTGAGTTTAAAGGATCTTCAAGAACTTAATGATCATACTTTTCCTGAATTGGAGCGTGTCCTTGCGTTTTCATGATCTAGTATAATATATTTTCTCTTCAGCAAACAGGACAATTCCTACGCAGTTTTTCAATTAATCAAATCTATAAATGCTATAAATGACACTCTCGGATTAAAATCTGGTTGATTTTCTTTAGTGCTATCTTGACAATGGGCATGTGGCCAAGTGGTTAGAACGTTCGCGTTCTTAACGTGAGACCAGGGTTCGAATCTCACCTTGGTCTATTTGTTAGGAAATTCGTGTGGAATTTGGAAAAGTTTCTGAAAAACATAACCCAGAGTTGACCCAATTCTTTCCCAAAAGCTCTAAGGTCTGCTAAGCATAGTTGCAGTATACATGTGGGCACTGTGGGTGTTGAATAAGCACAAATGCTCCTGAGCAAGCGTCTGCAAGAGGAATTATCAAGTAGACCTCTATACTCGAATACATTGGCAAGCTATACATATCAACAAACATCTATGTGTTACTTAATGCGAAAGAAATTTTCTCCCTTCAACGACATATTTTGTACACAATGTTATACTATCAGGGTAAACTTATGTTTTAAAGATATATAATTTGTAGATAACCTATATAAGGTGTTATATTATTTGGCATTATGTCGTTAAGATGGGATATTATGTGGATGGTTTCAGTATTTTCATATACTTTTCCATGCTCATTTCCTTGTGTCATTTATGTCTCACAGATACTAATTTCTTATAAGTACCAAGTGGGCATAGTCAGTTAAAATGTGTTTCAATCTAAGTGTGGCTTGGCATGTTTTACATCGTAGATCTTCAGTCTTCAGCCATTATGAATGAGGTATGTATGGCCTATATGCAGCCAAGCCAAATTTAACTCAACGTTCTTCCTTTTCTAGACATCTACTTTCATTACCCAAGGCCGGTTTGAATGAGCGAAGCTTTTTATTTCCGTTGTCGTTTGGGAAATTCTGGCACTTCTGTTGAATGAAACCGTTTATTTCATTTCTTCAGATCAGTAAAATCGATCCTGAACCTATTATCACGTACTTCATTTTGGACAAATTTTGTATCTTAATCGCCTTTGTTATTTTCCACTAATTCCTATACGACTTGGCACTCAGTATATCACTCTTTCTTCGTGTGTCATGTCCTCTCATGAAGTAGGTATCTTGACTCTCAACAATTTCAAGTCCTTTGTAGCTCTTAATAAATTTGAACTTTTTTTTCATTTCTCCTAAAGCCTGTTCCTCCATCCATTTATTTAGTCAAGCTTACTAAGTATGTTATGCGTTGTTTGCCTTTGTTACTCTTACTTTCAGTCTGTCTTATGTGTATCAGATTTTTCAAGACCCTTTCCCTCATTATGTGTCATAAAAATTTCAGCCATCTCTTCCTGATGTTTAGTATGTCTCCTCTTTGTTTCCATTTTCTTAAGAACTTCGTCGTTACCCTCATATTCGACCTATGCTATACTCAGCATCCTTCTGTAGAATGGACATTAAAGGACATTATCCAGCAGAAGTACATCGAGACTGCATAGCAATTTCACCACCAGTGGTTTGTCAAGATTTTATTTTTATTATTATTGCTTTCGGATAAAAGAGATGATCAAGTCATTTTACGAGCAGTTTCGTAACATTTCGACCTTGGTTGGTTGACTAATAATTCATAGCGCTGAAACATGTAATTACTTTTGAACACCTTTGTATTTACTTGTTTTTATTATCATTCTATTTTTACTTGTGAACAGTTGAGACGAAGTTTTGTAAATGAACAACAAATAAAAAAATACTGGTCTTTGTTTTATTTTTCCCCCAGGGATTATATAATCTTTTAATTAAAACGACTTTCAACTGTCGACTAATGAGACTTCCGATATTTGTTTCTGAAATCAAAAGAATAACCTCATTGTTTCTTTTTTAAGTTATGCCTGAAAAACATTAATATCCAGAGACATTTAATATGTCTATTTCAATATTTGCAAATAAAATCTGTATCATTAACCCTTTGGAAAAGACGTTTATTATGAAAACAAACGTAGCTATATGAAAATATTTATCACAAACATCGAAGACTTTTACGACAAACTAACTTGAAATATAAATCAATGAAATAGATTTTCCAAACAATAAAATATGAAAACCTGACAGATATCTCATTCTGGAAAATATACTATGCTTTGTAAATGTTTATTTTTACTAGTTTCTAGAAACTTTAAATTTTTGAAAGCTTATTTTAATATGAAACAAAGCCAAGTAGGAATAATGTATAAAGAATATATAATATTTTGCTCGTGACTGATTGTCTCGTTAATATTTGACTCTTTATAATTGCTAACCTCATTTCAATATGAAAACAAATCTAGCCCGCGTCGTCGTTGGTAGAGTATTGGGGTTTCCTTCTATGTGAAATGAGTCCTATGACGAATATGAAGAGACGTCTACATCCACCGCTTGGAGAGTTCAGGGGATGGCGAGCTCTGGTAGGAGAGTTCAGGAGATGGCGAGCTCTGGTAGGAGAGTTCAGGGGATGGCGAGCTCTGGTAGGAGGAGTTCAGGGGATGGCGAGCTCTGGTAGGAGAGTTCAGGGGATGGCGAGCTCTGGTAGGAGAGTTCAGGAGATGGCGAGCTCTGGTAGGAGAGTTCAGGGGATGGCGCGCTCTGGTAGGCGAGTTCAGGAGATGGCGAGTTCTGGTAGGAGAGTTCAGGGGATGGCGAGCTCTGGTAGGCGAGTTCAGGAGGTGGTTGTGGAGGCGGATATCTGGCATTCGTACAAGGAGAGTTCGGTGGGGATGAGAGAGCATTCAATCTCGGGGTAGGCGAGTTCAGGAGATGGCGAGTTCTGGTAGGAGAGTTCAGGGGATGGCGAGATCTCGCTGGTACAGGGCGAGTTCAGGAGGTGGCGAGCTCTGGTAGGAGAGTTCAGGGGAAGGCGAGCTCTGGTAGGCGAGTTCAGGAGATGGCGAGTTTTGGTAGGAGAGTTCAGGGGATGGCGAGCTCTGGCTTTTCTTTGAGCATGAATAAATTCTTGACGCTCTTAATCTAGAAAAAGAAAAACAAAGATATCTCAACAGATATATTCAATTTACACAAAAATATATAATTATTTATCTTCTAATGTTTTCGAACGCTGTTCTTTTTTTTTTCGTTGACTGCTCTTCTTCAATTGGTTCTTTTTGCAGGTCCCGTCTCCCAATTGGCCGGATCAATTTATTTCCTCAGCAATGTGTGTGAATAGGCAACTTGGGTCTCCACATAGTCGATTATCAGATGTGATCTCCGAGAAGACAATTTGTTGTGGTAGGCGGATATCTGGCATTCGTACAAGGTAACCGACCCATCGATGTCGGTGGCGAGACATGAGAGATTCTCGGCATTCAATCTTTGCGGGGGAGCGAGAAATTCGTTTGCTGTCATTCGGTCCTGCCACGTGTTCCGCGGGACTTAACATTGGTTATTATTATTATTATTATTAGCATTATTATTATTATTATTATTAATGTATTATGATGGAATCCTTCAAGTTTTTGGATGTCTCTCCGGCAGATTACCCAGATCTCGCAGGCGTACAGGAGCGTTAAGATTGCAAAAGACCATGAACTTGGTTAATATTACGCCTTTTCCCATTAATTATCGGATAAATACTGGGCTCTTGATAATTGCTAAGCAAATTTCATTTTGAAAACAGGTCTAATACCGTTGTAAGTTATATATCACGTCTTTTACCAGTAAATGATTACTGGTTCTTGGTATGTTTTAAGTTATTTTCAATCTGAAAAAAATGTGTAGTAAAATTATAATTATTAGGTTGGTGCAAAAATAATGACGTAATAATGTCGTTTTTGACGTTAAAAAATACATCAAAAAACGACATTATTACGTCATTATTTTTGCACCAACTTAATAGTATGTTTAGTATTGAGTGTCTGCCAGTAACTCATTGCCTGATTAATTCTTGCCTTTTGCTATTTGCTGAGGCGAGTCCAATCTGAAAAAAACAAAAAACAAAGTTATTGTAGGAATATACGATTTCATGAATAAATTCTTGACGCTTGATATTAGAATATAATATTTAAATCTGTTAATAGGCCAGGTAGAATTGTAAGAAATATAAAGTGTCAGATAGATTAAATATCTTCTACATTACGCAAAAATGGAAATAACACAGATATCTCATTTTACCAGATATATTTAGCAATATTACACAAAAATATATAAAGAGTAAATTTATTCAATAAAATCGTTATTAGCTTCAACCACAGCCTCTAGATGATTTCAGAATCTCCTGAAACTTTTCACAGTTGTCTCCTTCTTTAAGTTGGTGAATTCAAGTAAATTCTGTCAGCGCTTCACACATAATAATCAAGGGGGTTGCAGGTTGTGGAGTTAGCTGGCCAGATGTAATGTGGCCTCAGAAATTGTCCGACAGCCATGACTCGGCTCTTCTGCTTATGTGACATGATGCAGAGTTCTGTTTCCAGACATATGACCTTCTAGCAGCCACTCTCTTGATCTTAGGTCAGCACTACCTCCTAAAGGAACGATGTAGTTATTCGTGTTGAGTCTGAGGCCCTGTGAGAAGATGAATGGAGGCAAAAATCGCCGCACTAATGATCCCTCCAAACACCTTTGTAATCACCATTAGACACATCCAACTCTTTTTGAATTCTCTGCACCCTCCTCAGATTGAAGCCCAAGCATGCTGAAATGTTCATATCGGAGCTTCTGGTGCGAATGCCAAGAAGTATAGCATGCCGTTTTCAAATTTCTGCTCGAGTGCTCCTTTTCTCAAAGATGGTGCTCAACTGACCTTACTCTGTTGTCAAACAACGCGCATGCGCGAAATTAAAAAAAAGGAACGGTGAAAATTACCCTTACCACCGTGTAAAAATGACTTGATTGTCTAATAAATATTTTTGTCTTGTTACATATTTTCATTTCCAGCAAGTTCAGGTCGTGATTTAAAGAATATATCATATTTTAACATTGGTTATTATTATTATTATTATTATTATCATTATTATTATTATTATTATTAATATTGGTATTATTATTATCATTATTATTGTTATTATTATTACTATTATTATTATTATTAATATTATTTGGTATATAGATGTACTAGAATCACAATGCAAATACTATGTATAAAGTAATTTTTTCAGTTCACGTACCAAGCAAAACAGAAAACCATGTAGGAGCATATAGAGTTGGTTACAAGGAGATGCCTGATTAGTTTAGCTGTATTCTGATTTATAGGAAAATTATTTAAAGTTCTTCCTGGGCTCCTCTTCCCAAATATATAAGGTAAATTTATCCGTCTCCTCTCAATTTCACTTTAAAATTACATTAAACAAATACTAAGTAGTGAGTATAAGCCATGACACAGACGATTGGCGCTAGGAGAGATACATAGTAGCAGCAACTGCTAAACGGATGCTTTTACAAACATATGATTTCAAGAAGAAACTATTTTCACTTTTCCTGTGTAGAAGCACTCCTTTCCATCCGTTCAATAATTAATTCTATTTTTGTTCAGAAATATAGAGTTTGGAGTCTATTGTTAACGAAATGTGTACATTTTTCTGCGGCCATATTTCTTTTCATTTTTATCTCTCACCGATGAAAGACCTATAACACTGAAAAGCTTTAACCTAAATAAAATGGAGAGCCAAAATTAATTATGCAAAAGGTTGAAATTTTATGACATATTCCCTAATAGGCATACTTTAATATTACCTGGATTTCCTTTATCCGAAACGTTATCTCGCAACTATTGTTCGTCAAGTAATTGAAACTGTCTTCCCTGTAGATCGCATAATATTTTCTTTTATCTGTGACATTTTTCGCATTTGTCGAGAGGTAATATCAACGTAGAGTAAGCAATACGTCCACATTTTTATAGATTATTGATTGTCGGATCTTATATTTAAGAGACGATTATCTAGCTGATCGATCTCGCATTATAGAGTTTTACACATTTAATCTGAAATCTTCACCCTATAATCTTCGGAATATGTGAGGATTGTTCACCGCTGATTTACCTGACTAGCAACAAAACGTGGTTTATTGAAAAAATTATGAAAGTACTGTTCTGTAAAATAAATCTATTTTTTTCATTACAAAGAATTATCTATGTACCTTCTAATGTTTCCTTTGTGGTATCAACGAACCCTCTTTACAACTTTTTTTTAATGCCAACGAATACACATTGTTACTTTTGTAATACTCCTTGTAGTAGAGGCTTTGTAATCGCAGATACAACTACAGTATCGCCATTGAACAATGCTAATATCAGACGCCTTCGAATATCGCTCGCACTAATAGTACTTGCTCGATAATACTCGCTCGAAAACTAATCACCGTATAGTGATCAGAATAGTGAATAGTATAGTGAATAAAGTAGAGAATAGCGGTCCAAATAGTAACAGAGGATAGACTAGAATGAAATAAATTAGACACACGCTACCTCCTACTTATGAGATTCCTCTATGGTCACGTCGTGTTCTTAATTCACTAATGAGATCGCTTTGTGTTTGCTCACTGGCGATCTATATTCAAATTCAAGTGTCGGCAGCGAAGCTTTATTCCTCTATAAAATGTTCACATTTATATATACCAGCAGAAGGAAACCATAATAAATTTAGTATTATCAAACTCTAGCATCTACAACTAAAGTTGCCTTCGGAATTCTATCAGAATGGTAAACTATATATCTCCCATTTAATTACATTTAATAAAAAAGAGACTTTACACAAATTTGGAATATACTTATAACAAGATTTAATTAGCTACCAACATTTTTATATGAGACAAAGACTTACGAATAACTTAAGAATTCTAGCTGAGAAACATAAAGAATCAAAAAAAAAGAAATCATTTCATTATGTACATCGGCTTTTGAGAAAATATAGAAATGCAAGAAGAACGGCTTTTCATTAAAATACATTCAGTAATCAATAAATCAACATTTAAGATGGTAAATAATTGGATGCTTCTCTGTCGGTATTATTAAAATATTGATTCATTCGTGATAAATTCTTAAATTATTAATATGAATCATAGCATATCCACGTGTCCTATAATAGCAAGAAGAACAACAATAATGGCATTAATTAAAAGAAGAAGGAGAGGAAGGTTTTATTTTTCTAACGGATGAAATGTACATGGAAAGTGAAAGTATTATATGTCATAAACTATTTAAAATGTTAATTTATTGAGAACAAACAAATGTATTAGCATTACGCGCCATTTTATTATATCATGTTACTTCTGTTATACACGGTGTCCTTAAAGTCTGGACACATAGAACACCTTATTAACTAAGTCTGTTTTTAAATCCACAGATTATACTTGGTTTTGTCCAAATACAGAAGTGACTTCTTTTTCTGTAGTATGCTAAAGGAAAAGATCTACTCAATGTAAATCAAAAATGCAACACACTTGATTGAACGCATAAGGAGTGTATGTGCTGACGGAAATGTGGAGTTATTGAAACGACATCACATGAATCTTACAAACCGCATCAACATTTGCATCACAAACGATGGAAATCATATTGAAGGTGTTATTTTTTAATATTCAAATTCATTAAATTTGGAAATATAATTCCTTGAAAATATGCATTTTGCTTATGTGTCTATATTTTAGGGACACCCTCTATATGATAATTATAATACTAGCTGTCTCCTTATATGGAAATATTCCACATTTATTGTGCGTGCCGCCAGTGCTACCGTGAGTTATATATCTATATTTTATTAAACAGTTTTACAAGAACATAGGTTTCTCAAGTCTAGTAGCTGTTATTGCTCTCTCCAGTCACGATTAGGGCTGACTTTTGAACCTTTTATTTGAAGTAGTGTGGAACGTTTTCCTCTTGATTATATGTGTGATGTCACGAAAAAAAGCAAAACAAAAATAAACAACTACACCAGTT